TGGCTTCTCGCACATACGACGAATATATCCGAGCTTGGCGAAGGACAACACTGGTTGTAATGTAGTGTATTCTGGCCAAACCGAAAATCAACTCTCCTTTCGTATAGCTAAGCCCCAGCTAACGCTTACGGGACATGCCAGTATATTCCAGTTATGAAGTCAAACACTGGACATAGTAGACGTGCGTGCATGGGAGAAAGGTCGCATAGTTGGCGTCCGCCCAACAGGGAAACGCCGCAATTTCCTGGAATCAATGCACTGGAGCAAAGCCTGCCTCGAATAATCGTATCGATTTAGAGGGATGTGCATACGGCCCCACAAGTAACATTGAATATCTTGTGTGATGGCATTGTCACCGAGCATTTACAAACCCTTGCACGTAGGGCAGCATACTATGCTATGTCCCGTATTAATCAAAGTTAAAATTCCACTTCAGTAGCCATTGCTATTTTAAATCATACTTGGAATTATGCTCTTTGTTCTATGAGCTGTAATGCAAACTACACTTCTCCGTGCACCCCACTTTTTACAGAAGAAGAACCTGTTTTATTCCGCCCCATACGACCTAAAGAGCCTTGGCAGGGAGCTTTTAGAGCACAGCAACTCATATCTTCACGATCTGAACGTCTTCCTGGCTGATCAAGAGCACGCCAGCTTCGTACGTAATTCTTTTATGCTTTTGCTTTTTTTCATATTTCCTAACATGACAAATTCAGCAGCGCGCTTAATCGCGTCAGCAAGCATATCAATCACTTTCTCCTTTCCCAAACTTTGACTTGACCAGAGGGCGAAAGCTAAAAAGGTGATTCAGCACAGATTAAGCAATTGGTGACAAGAACGATCTCTGCATGTAGGAGTTTCCCTACTCCCTGTAGCAGTAACAGTTGTATTTGCGCCTTCGTTTTTTGTATTTTTTTATTTCACGAGCACGATTGTGTTGAACTTCCGAACTTGTTTTTCATCAGAAAAACTGTAACAGATAAGTTGGCGTGACTAGAAGTTTGAAATATTATCACTACTGTCCTTCTTTTAAGCTGAGGTGCACACAAACGGATAAGCTTATTTCCTCAACAAAACGTTGCATTCGTTGAAATGTGTTCGATGGAAAATACATTCCTTTCGAGATCGAGCATAGCATGGCCACTTACACACATATGTCACAGATTGCTGATGGATAGTGGGCAAGCTGAATGGCAGCTTTGATTATGAATGTATACCAATTGTGAAAATCCCAGCGGCCTCCGTGGTATTCGCACCCAACCAAGCAAGGGGAAGGCTTTATGACAGCCAACGCTCTAGCCACGAGGTGGATTCTAGATTGATTACTTAAGAAATCCTGCTGGGGCAGTCAGCGTACTGTAGTGGAATTGGTAAATTTCGTACGTTGCAACAGGGTGGGCGGTTATATTAATCCAAATGTGAATACACCCACGGCTCCCGGTGGGTGCCTCGTTGCTTGGTTTGCTAGAGCGATAGCTGCAGTAAAGCTGTAGTGGCCTTTTGCAGCCACTTGGAACCCAAGGGATCAGCCGCATACGTATGGCGCCTTTAGCCTGCCTGCGTGCCCACTGCCTCCTGGGGCTGGACGCTAACTCTCCTTGACCGACGCGCACATACGCCTCAGCGTGACCGCGCGCTAACGCTAGCCGGCCATCTCAAGGTCGCGCGCCCACGCTAGTCTAGACATCAGC